TTGTGTAATGAGCCATTAATAAGCGAAAGGTCAGGGAAAGTTTGGTCGTTTAGGATTTTACTTGCTAGAAAAAACTGAAACAGAGCACCTGGCATGCAAATTTTGATGATTTTAGAAAGAAAAACTCATTTTTCAACAGACATCATTTTCAAACTCACCCTAAACTTCCATCTCAAACCAGAAAAAAATCCACAAAATATCATGCACGTGTCGAGAACGACATACTTCAAGGTATTAGAAGGAAGAAGGTCCCCCAATCATGGTCACGTGTCTAACGTCTTCAATGTCTGTCTATCTCACTAATGGATGACTTTACCACTCGCTCATAAAATTTCCCATCCATTGAGTCCAGAAAAATAGAATTTTATTTCAATATTCAGATATGATGATGATTTACTGTCGATTTCACAAATGAAAGGATTAAAATTGTGTGGGGAGAGGAACCCGGAATGTAATTAGCAAAATTAATTTTTTTGTCTTCTTTTCTATTCATTTACATTCATCATCAGAATATTTTCCATGGAAGCTGTAAGAGGGGATTCAGAAATGAGGATGAATCAAAATAAATCTGATTTTAATGAATTTTTTTTTCAGCTTTTTACAATTCTCATTTTTTCTGATTCATTTCTCACTTAAAAGGAAGACAAACAGAGAAATAAATTGTAGGATTTGTGGGAAGCTTGCTGTTGAGAAGGATGTTGAGGACAAGTTGAGGATGAAGTGCTTCGATGAGCCCTAGAATATGGCTCTTGAGGCAAGAAATAATCAGTAAATGAGTAGTTTCACGATGAAGTTCATAAAGTTTAACTTAGGAGTCATTAACAAGTGGTGTCTACCGAAAATTGAAATTTTCTTAAGCCCCTCACACCTGAACTGTTACAAAATATTCATAATTGCTGATAAATGGACTCAAAAGTGAATCCAGAGGGGCTTAAAAATCATGACTCTTGCCTAAATGGATTATATTGACTGTCACACAGCTATGGCCCTTACCCACACTCCAATTGAAATTTATGAACCCCTCTTATCAGGGGTATGGGGGGATGCTCGGGTATCTAAGGACCCGAGGGTGCCCGAGCATCCCCCCCCCCCATGAAAAGTCTTGGCTACGCTTCTTCCTCTTATCATCCTTAAGTGCCTGTTCCCTGCACATCCTTAATTGCATTGCCTGTTCCCTCCACAACATGTCAAAACTTTTATCCTAACTTCACAAAAATCCATATCAGCAACTTCTGTTTCCCCTTTCAAATGCCAACAAAGAAAAAAAAACTCTTTATTCCTTCCATAACGTCTTTTTAGTAGAATAAGAAAAATTAACATCAATTCCTGACACTCTCAATTATTCAGCATAAAAAGGATATTTTTTTTCCAACTTCTCTCATTCCATTTAACGTATACGCTTTACAGCATCAGCAGCAGCAGCATCATTGGCAGTATAGCATAGTAAAATTGATGAAAATTTAATGAATCTCCAGATGATGCTGTCGGAAAAGAAGGCGAGAAGAATAACTGCAACTGTATAGAACAAGTCGTGCAGAAATGATTCGCATTGTAAATAATTTTGCCTTCATCTCCCCAAAAAAATGCGCGTTGATGTTTTTTGCAATGTCAGTTCCTTTCCTGTTTCTTCGAGTGGAAATTTTAATTTTCACCAATTTACTGATTATTCCGCCTTCTTTACAGCCTTGCTGCCTTTTCTTCTACAATTCTCGTGAATGCGCAAATTAATTATCTCAAAATCAATCCTTTCTCTTCTGTTGTCTTTAGTCATCTTCCCTTATTTTTTGAATAGCTACGATGTTTGGTGCCTCATTCATGTTCACTCAAATATGAAAAAGGAGAATCTTCATCATAAGACGGTCGTTGATGATGATGTTGATGATGATAATGTTTGGTAAGTTTGGGATAATTTAGTAATGACATCGCAGTTGATTAAATGTCAAGTCAGGTTGATATGCTTAGTATGCATGATTTTATGCAGTGCTTTGTCAGTTTTGGAAATAATTAATAATGAATCGGTACATCAATGGTAAGTTCGAATCTTAACAGCGTCTTTTATAGCTACTGCTGAAATCACGGTTCAAATCCTACAATTTGAATACAGTGTCATTTCCTTATAGCTGATTTAAAGCTAAATGAAATCACAACAAGATTCAATTCGTCAAAATGACATCGTGATCTGGCTCTATCAAAAGATGCATCCATCCACATGGCTATCATAGTTGCTCCACTTCAACCATTGTGATTTTAAGTCAATGATGCATACAGCACTACAATCGAGCCACCTTTAAAGTCTTGATACTCTACAAAATTACACAAGACGTTACATAAGCACATCCCCACCCAACCTTACATCCAGAAGAAAAAATATCATCTTCATTCCCTCCACTATAAGATTCACATTTTAAAAAAAGAGACATTATAGAGGTTGAAAAGTGAAATTTATGGCATTTGCCATTCATTGCAAAAGTTCAGAATTCTTAATTGAGAACAATGTTGGATCGGCATTGTTATTATTATGCCATAGAATTCATGAATGTATCTAATAATGGGGAAAGTGTGATTAAAATTCCTCTTCATCTTCCTATCTTCTTCAGCATAAGCATCAATTTCCGTATGTATTAAAAAGGGAAAGAATGAAAAAAAATATTTTTCATGTGCGTCCCTCATGCAAGCATAAATAAAAAGGAATAAAAGGAAAATTGGAAAAACTAAAATGTAAAAGTTAAGCATTAATGTATGGAGAAAGTAGTGGTGTGGGTAGAAAGGGGGAACTAGGAAGCAATATAATCTTATTAGAAAAGGGATGGATTTATTACTGGTTGGAGTGGTTGGTGCTGTTCAGGGAAAGAATAGTGTCAGTCTGTCAGCCTGTCTATCTGTCAGTCTAACCGTTTATGCATCTCTGTTCTTCATAATTCCCTAGCTCAAGAACCAACCATCCCATATGTAAGAAAATGTTCACCCCTTGCCACACCATCTCTCCTTCAATCTTCATTTCCTCTTTCTAATTTTTCCCATCCACTTATCCCCTTCTAGTCCAATGAAAAGATGATAGTTATTAGAAAATATTTTACCATAAAACCATCCACAAAATACATAAGAAAGAAAACAAACTTAACAAGCAAAAGAAGAAATTTCCATAACTTTAGCAACAACAGCAGCAGCAGAAGTGGAAATTCTTTTCTTCCATAAGATGAAACATCTGCGAACATCTGAAGGAAGCAGCAAAAAAATTAAAATAAAAGAAATTTTTTAATTTCATGAATGGATTTATTGTTTTCTGGTTGCGTAAGCAGACTTTTCACTGCCACAGAATGTCGAATAAGCTGGGAGGATGGTAAGGCATAAACTTCATCTCCTCCTACATCATAACGACGGAAATAACATGGAAATCAGAAGAATAAGAAGAAGCATAAACATGAAAATGAAAAAAAGGAGGCCACAAAACATCAGCAAAAAAAGTATAAAGTAAAGTTTTGAAGGCAGAACAATAAGTTAAGTGGTTTGAATGTGTCAAAGGGAAGTTTTTCGGGTGGGATGGGGAACTAGAGGGTGATATAGAATTGTATTATGAAGTGCTGGAGACTTTTATATTGTTTCTTTATTGTATTTTTGTTTATCTCAACATTTGAGCAAAACTGAGCAACAACTCAACAATATTGACCAAAAATGAGCACGATTGAGCTAAACTGAGCATGATTGAGCAAAACTGAGCAACAATTCAATAATAATGACCAAGAATGAGCAATATTGACCAAAACTGAGCATGACTGAGCGAAACTGGGCTCCAATTGAGTTCAAAAATATGTAACAATCCACACTGCCCTTAAAAATCAGCAAACTATAAGTAGGGTGACCATCTGCGTAGTTTTACAACGGACAGTCCTGTATTTCAAAACCCTGTCCTGTATAAATTTGAAAACTTTGTTCCAGGTCCTGTATTTTTTTCAGGAAAATTTCCATTAATTTTCGAATTTTACTCTATGTCCTGTATTTTTCGAAAAAATTTACCAAAAGTCCTGTATTTTCATGAAAATTAGATGGTAACCCTAACTATAAGCATATTCTTAATAACAACATCTTCCAACTCCTTTTTTATCCCACAATAAATGCCACTCGATCTAATGTCACTTATGCCCATTACAAAAATTCCTCAGCTGCATCGGATATCGAAATTGAATAAAAAAGACAGAAACAGCACAAAAAAACTATGGTTGGAGGACTTTGTAAGTCACAAAAGAAATCAAATCTAGAAAAGGAAAAAAAAAAATCTAATGAAATATTTATGAATTCACATGTGAAGTGCATGAGATTCCAGCATAACATAAAACTAGGGTCAATAACATCAAATCACTTTATTGCCATTTTCAATGTGAAGGATGAAATTTTTCATCTCTTGTTCAAGACAAGATGCAAAGTGAATAATTTAATAGCATTTTTTGAGGGTGTGAAGTGGTTGAAAATCAAATTTTATTTCAAAGAAATTTTTTATCAATTTTTTATTGCCTCAAAAAGTTTATTGTAGTCTCAATTCCTGTGTGTATGATATATATCTTGTGTCTTACAAGCAGGCGAATAGATTGAATTTTAAATTTTTTAAATTCGTTAAAATTTAAAGCGATAGGAAGTCGTAAAAGTTAAGGTGGGGATGTAAAGTTTGGGTTTATTGGAACTTAGTGAAATTTAGCTTCAAGTGAATAAGATTGTTGTATCAGCTACGCTTGTGATAACGCCAGTGTCGTAGCGAAATTGGGATTCCCAATAATTTCTTTCCCACAAAGTTGATACTCCTCGTTATGCCTACATCGCCTCTTTATCAATAAAATTCCATCTAAATCTTAATCCAATACCTTAATTAAAGATTGAAAACAAAACAATATTTTTAAGCTTAATTGTACCTAACACATGCTGTGTTTATTTATACAAAAAAAAGATAACGAGCTTAACAGTTTATTTGTTACACATGCTTTAATTTTTGATAACATTTGACTATAAATAAGACTCGAATTTTGACGAGCAGACTAGTACTGCTTAAGAAAATGATTCGTTTACTTTTAATTGTAGCTTTATTTTCGTTGGTCATTTGTGCTCCAGTGGGTAAGTTAACATTTAACGTCTCATTCTTTGTTTGTGGGTCAGTTAAATTTCTTATTCAAAACTCTATAGCAAATTGGAATTAAATGCCAAACTTAATTTATTAAATTCTAATCAAAATTAGATGACGCAGACAGAAGAATACTCGGTGACACTCAACCAGGTGCGATGGGTCAATTTCAATTCATTGTATCAATTCGTCGAACCGGAACAAACCAAGTTCATTTGGGTAGTGGAGCTTTAATTGGACCAACATGGATATTAAGTGCTTCTTCACTTACTTCATTATTTGTCCGACCTGCTGATATGACAATTGCCTTTGGAGTTGTTAATGTTCCTACGGTTGTTGCTCCAGGTTTTACACTTGCTGCTCAAGAATTTGCAACAAATGAAGGGTAAAGAGTTCTTTATAAGTTGACAATTTTTTTTATATTTTATTTATTTATAGCCTTGCATTAATTCGTACTCTGGCTGTGACATGCAATACTGCGCGATTTGGATTTATATCGCCAATTTTCATGGATAATACAGTTCATCCAAATGACGTTTCTGACGCTTTAGTAAGATTTTTTTACTTTTTATTATAATGTTATTTATTGTTATGGATTAAAGGTTGCTGGTTGGGGTCAAACTGCTAGCGGTCCAACTACTCAATTAAGATTCAGAAAGGTTGCAACTGTTGACTTATGTGGCACCCAGACATCATTTTGCACAACTGGAGTATTATGCGCAACTGACATTGGCAATCCATTGATCACAGCATCTGGATTGATAGGAATTGCAACAACAACGCCGTGCGTCGGAGGAACTGTAAGATAAAGATATAGTTTTTCTAAGCTTGGTTTTCTATTTTAACATATTTTTTGAATTTTTCAGGATCTGTATGATCGAATTTCATTTTACCGAATGTGGATTCATATTGTTACTGGTATTTAGTTGTATCCAGCAATAGAACTGGTGAAATACTGATAAATGTTTAAAATATTACTTTAAGCAACCTAATTCTAAGCTTACAATCAAGTTCAAATATTTTGAGAGATTAAAGAACGTAAATAAACTTTAGCCACAAATTAATTTGAAATGTGACCTTATTATGAAGTCAATTTTAGCTTTTACTTTCTTATCTATCTGTTTCATTATTTTATAAAGCAAAGTTAAGTCCAGGTTTATTTTTAAATGAATTAATACAATATTTGATAAATGAAATGAATCTGAATTTAAAATAATGCAGCACCTGATTAAAAACAAAACAATTTCCTTGCTGGCGATGAAATGTTTATCTTAGAGCAGGGGCGTGGCCAGGAATTTCAAGAGGGGGGGGGGGGGACAAAAAAAATTTATATGGAAAATTCAGAAGAGAGAGGGGGGGAGGGATTTTTATGATTTTTTCATAAAACTCCTTGCAAAATGAAGAAATTTCTGTTAACGTCGGGAGATTTGTCTCCCAAATCCCCCCCCCCCCCCCCTCTCTTCGCTACGCGTCTGTCTTAAAATCTGTTCACTTACTACGTCGAGTGGGGTGAGGGACAGCAAGAAAAAAAAATGGAAATTCCTGGAAATCCATTGTTCTGCTTTGAAATTGACAGTTAATTTTGGACGTCATAAATGAAAGGCTCAGCTTTTTTGTTTTGTTGTTTTGATGCAATTGTCTACAAATCAGGCGCAAACTTTTGAATCAGATTAGTTTTGAACGCTAATATTTCTTCATTAAAAGCTTTTACTTCCGTGAGTTAAGAATATTAGTCTAGCAATGAAAAAGAAGGATCCTTCATATAACAGGTTCTATCGCTCAATTTTGAAATATAACACATAGTCCTTAAGATACTTAAATGTCTTGGGTACTTCTCTTTCCTCAAAGACACCAAAAAAATCTATCAAAAAAGCATTCATTAAAATCTGTTCATCAATTTCACTTTTTACCTCCTTTTAAAATCTCCTTATAAAATGTATATAAGTAATACATGCAATTGAGTAATATACCGAAAGATGCTAGGATGAAAAAGAAACAAATAAAATCGACTTTCACTCAACCCAAATAAAAAAAAAGTTTGCGTATGTGCAGATGCGGAAGGTAGCAAAATAAGGAAATAAAACCTCCTGAAGCGAATTAATTGCAAATATTGGATGGAAGAGTATCTAAAATGTAGAGTATTTATAATCGTAAATGGAAATTCCCATTGGAAATATTCTCAAACATAAAAACAGCAGTGAAAATCTGTGGGGAAGTTCACTCGAATATGTCGAGTTTTATTATCATCCTTGAAGTTTTATGTGAATAGAAATAGTAAAGGATGAGTGTTATTTTTGGGAATATGGAAGCGCATTTAAATGGTTTGATGGAATGGGACTTGAGGATTAAAAGCTCCAGATCCAAGATTGACTCAAGTCAACCTTAATGTTATCAACTTCGAGCTCTGGCCTAAGGTTAAGTGACTGGAACTAAACTTATGATTTTTACTACTTTATGATAACTAGATTTTTCATTTTGCATTCTAAAAATCACGAAGTCTAAAAGTGCAGTTCCAGTGATAATTTCTATGCTACACACTGAGCCATGACCCTTGCTTTTTAAAAAATCATTCTAGTTCATCATCAAAAAATTCCAAAAAATAGGAACTAGCCAAACAAACACTCTATCAGTCACCCAGCCAGCCCAACCTCAAAAACATACATCCACTTTACCCTCAAACAGAAATCACAGCCAAACTTTTTCTTATTGTTCATTTACGATTTTTTCATTCATTACGTTTTTTTTTCTTTTTCCTTTCTTACTTTCCGGTTTACTTGTGGCTTCAATGAATGAAATTGATGGCAATAGCACTTGCCGAAAGTGAAAAATTCATTTTGGAAATGGAATCATTGTCGATTTTTTCCTCATTTCTTTGCCTTCATTTTCATTCTTATTTCTTACATTTCGTTTGCGTTCAATCTCATTGCGATAATTTATTGTTATTTTCGATTGTGAATGCGGGACGTCAAATGGAACAATCGAGGAAGAAAAAAAATAATATTTTTTTTGTTTGAGGGGATCAAGAATTCGAATGTGTTTTTGATATGAGAGTTCTTTTTGTGTGCGTATTTGGAGCAAGAGGTTAGGGGTTCTTTTTAGCGCATTTTTGAAAACTTGTTTTCGAAAAGGGAGCTCAATAATACACTTTGTTTTTGTATTTTCTTGGTGAATAGTTTGTCGAATTTTGTGGTGAAGCAAGAGGAAGGTCACAAGGGGTGAACAGAGGCCCATCATCAATTAAAGTCCTTTATTTTCATATTTTATTGACTTAAACATGAACTTCGTGTGGGACTAGGTTTACACTAGTGACTAGGTTTACACAAGTGACTAGGTTTATACTATTGACTAGGTTTACACTAGTGACTAGGTTTGCACTAGAGACTGGGTTTACACTAGTGACTAGGTTTACACAAGTGACTAGGTTTGCACTAGAGACTAGGTTTGCACTAGAGACTAGGTTTACACTAGTGACTAGGTTTACACTAGTGAAAAGGTTTTACACTAATTACTAGGTTTACACTAATTACAAACATTTTCCAAGCAGTGTGCAGCGGCAAACCAAAACTGAGAATTAAATACTAGGATTCGAACCACTTCTTCGAATCATTCTTACGTATCAAACCTTTTAAGGATTTCAGCATTGAACAATTGAGTGACAGTTCCACTTCTTATCACCAGTGCTGTTTATAAACCATCCCAAAACCCCTAAAATCGCCAACATGAGCTCCCAGATAAAAGCAAAACGGAAGAAAGGAAAGAAAAAAAAGTTAATTTAACCGTAAGATCCATAAATGAATTAATGAAGTCTTTAGGAGAAATTAATGTTGTATGATATTTGAGAGGCTGATTCATGCTGGCACATTCCATTGAATAACTTTATTGATGATGAAATGAATACATAAAAATAAAACTACAGGCGGTGCTTTTCCACTTTTCTTCAACAATTTTCTTCAAGTTGAATCATAAAATAAAAATAGAGAAAGGAAAAAACTTTTAAGAAAATTCACAGTTGGAGTAGCAAATGTTCGGGCAATAAATCAATACTCAATTCGTGCACCTTATCAAAAAATTCTTTTCTTTTGTGGGGAAACTTTACTTATTCTTCTTTTTTCGGATATAAAGCAGCATTGAACATGAAAATATAAAGTGAAGAAAAATCTAATTTAAAAAATGTTTTCCGTTCATTTCTTCTTCTTTAACTTTTATTTCATTTTTTTTGTTCCTCACTCAACCAAAACTATTGAGAAAATTTTTTGAAAAATGACTTTTAGAATTTTCATTGTGGAATTATCAAGGGGTGGTAATACTAGGTTTTATAGCAAGTTTGCTGTCTTTAGACGATATCTGAACGCGGCATTGGGGCTACGTGCGCCCCAGCCAAGGAAGTAAGCAAGTATATAAAGCGACAGAGTTAGATGAAAAGCCTTTAAATGTAACTTAAGCTCCACATAAGAACATAGTTACAGTAAATATAGAAAGTTTATATCCAATTACACTCAGTTCCTCATAACAGATCAATCCATTCAAGCTCAGGAACCCAAAATTTCAATAATCAAAGACACCTCAAAACAATCTTACATTCAAGCCTTTCAATTCAATCCAAAAGGCACCAAAGCATGTAAAACCCAAAAAAACATACCTCAAAAAAAAATATCAAACACATGCCAAACAAATTCATAAGATATGCTTCAACGCTTATTGATTAAGCAGTATCAATATCATCAGACTTGATATGAATGACGAAAAAAAAAGAAATATAATCGAACATGTTGCTTTAGGCTAGTATTTTGATGTGAAATGAAAACAATATGTATGTAGCATCAGGATCTATCAATAATGTATCATATTCCATCATGATTGTGTACACTTTTTGCTGAATGAATATGGAATCGTATTACAGTAATTTTTGTAAATAATAAAAATTCTGTGGATGTACGGAATTAAATTATGATGGGAAGGATGTGATAAGGATTGTGGATAATTTTTGGAAATTTCGATTGGAAAAATTGGTATTGGAATGTACTAGGTTTCACAAGTTAAGGTGCTTTCACACTAGAGTTGCTATAATTTGGTGTTTTTACAATAGATTTCTTATATTAAGGTGCCTTTACACTAGAATTATTACGCCTAAGTGTCTTCACATTAGGAATTTTTATATCAAGGTGCCTTTACACCAGGATTTTCAAGCTAAACTGCCTTTACACTATATTAATATTAAGGTGTCTTCACACTTAACTTATATTAAGGTGCCCTTACACTTACTAATATTAAGGTGTCTTCAAGTTTTTCTCATATTAAGGTGCCTTTACACTTTAATCATATTAAGGTGCCTTCACACTATATTAATGTTGAGGTGTCTTCACAATTTACTCATATTAAGGTGCCTTTACGCTAGAGTTTTAAGTTCTCATCCCTTGGAATTGTCACAAGAAATTATTTCTTCCTCTCTCCGACACTTTACAACAATGAACGGAAACAAAACTTTTTTTTTCATCCACACTTCTTCATCTTATTGCTGAGCAATCGAACCAAAAGAGAAACAAAATAAAAAGTTGAAAGTATAAAATTGAAGTTTATTGGAAGGGAAAAGAACAGAAAGTCATTTTGTCACTGATTTTGGTCACAAATGCAAGTGAAAAATTGAACTTTTCCCTCAAGCAGAAGCAAAAAATTGTGAAAAATTCTTTTCAATTGAGCACAGCTGTTCATTTTAAATAAATTTTCATCATCAGTCACTTTCGTTGACACAATCAAATTTATTATTTTTATTACCGCACACATATAAAGTTGACGTGTTCCTTTTTTTGTTTGTCACTCTCACTTCATCTACGGATTCTTTGGTGTGTATGGAGAGACAAAATTAATTTCGGAAGTATGATGAGAATCATGTCGACAATCAATTTTTTATTTTTATATTTTTTATCTAAATTAAATCAGAGAGACTTTTTTGGTACTTTCGGGGGTTTATTAATAAATATGTCAATCTAGCTGTCTATGTACCTTCTGCCAATTAGTTCTGATGATTATGAATGAAATTTCAACCAGAATTTAAGAACTTGTCTTTTAGTTCATTGTGAAGGGACCTGAACATTAAAACACTAGTTCAAAGGCACCTTAATTTTGGAACTCTAGTGTGAAGGCATCCAAACATTTGA